TGGGCACCCAGGTTGGACACTGGAGAAGCAGCTCAGCTGTGCAGGTTAAGAAAGACCCACAAATAACCTTCTCCAGGGGTAAGAGAGGCTGGAGGAGGAGGGGAACGAGTTGTGCTCATCCACACTCCTCCATCCAGCCCCGACCAGCGCTCAGCCAGAGGGAAGCGTAGGAAGCAGCAAAGCTCAACATTCCAGCACTCACAGCATTCCCATCATCTCCCTGAGGACTCCCTGGGCCCAGCAGGGTCTCCTCTAACCCCACATCATCCATATTTCAGCGCAGCCATCTCAGCAAGGAACACAAACCCACGGGGCTTGTGTGGAAACGCCTGTTCCACCCTGCGAGGCAGCGCCGGAGGGGTCGATCCCTGCCTTTCGATCCCGGATCCAGGCAGTCCCCAGGAAGTGTGTGCTGCTTCCTAAGACATCTTTCAAATGGTATCAGTCCTTAGTACAGCCCTCCAGCAGACCTTAAATCCAAAGGTAAGCTCAGTGTGGGTGCAAATTCCAACGGAGGTGCCATCAGCAGCTTCTTCCCACTAGGACCATTCCTCGGATCATCTCAAGGAAAACTGTTTAGCTGCAAACTGGTGATTTAAAGGATAATGGATTTTGGAACCACCCCTGGCTCTTCAGCAGCCACAGTTCTCCTCAACGAGCCAGGTGGAGCAAATGCTGGACCTTGGACAAAAGTGCATTGCAAGCTGGGTTTTTAATTTTGGGAAGGGGTGCAATGACCGACCTCTGCTCCTGCACAGATCCCCGAGGGCAAGGAAAAGACCTTCTTCTTCATCAGCCTCAGCTTCTCTTGGCTCAGCTTTATCAGCCACCTCCTCCTGCTGTACAAGGGACTTTTAAAGTTAGAAATGAAGAGACTTCAACCCCCCCAAAAAGTGTTATTCTGAAATGCTCAACAGCCTTTAATTCATTTTGAACCTAGAGGCAAAGGAAAAAAAATAGGCAAAAAATACATCACAGCCTTAATCTAGGGGGAGAAAGGAAAGGAAAAAAAAAAATCATTATTTTTATAGCACATAATCAGACACTTACAAATATATTTCACCGCAGGAAGGGGTAGGAATGTGCATTTCCTATTTCCTTTTCAATAGTCTGATGCCCAGGGGGCATCAATATGGTCATTACCCCAAATCTGCACGAGTCACTCCTAATCCAAAAAGAGGGATTTAAAAAGCAACCCAAAAAAAAAAAAGAAAGAAAACCCTTGCACCCAGGAAGGGCATTTGACAGTTCCAGGTTCATGTGTCAACATAACTCAGCATCTGAAAATGGGGGGAGGAAACACAATTTTGTTTTTACAGTATAAATAGTATTTTAGAAAGGTAGTACTCATGGATACAGGAATGGTGCTATTGCAGTCAGGATTTCAACATGCAGAGGAAACTCCCCAACAACCACTCAGCCCATCCCACCCTTCCCCTCCCACCTCCAAAAAAAAAAAAAAAAGTCCTCTGCTGGTTAAATTTCTCTTTCAATTGTTTTAAATATTTCTCTCGTAGCCTGGCAACATTCTCAGGGTTTTATACAAGCAAGTTTTCTATTAAATCATATTTTAACCGACAGGAGACAGCTCTGGAGGAGGAACAACCGAGGCTTGGAAGAACCTTGCCAAATTTTTTGAAACTTTTATTAGTCTCAGTTTGGTTTTATTGGTGGAGACATCTACCGAAAACGTCAAAAACTCTGAAATTTAAAAAAAAAAAAAAAAAAAAAACCAAACCAAAACACAACCCTGTTTTTCCAAGGTCTTACAAACACGCACGCGCAGCCACGCACACACAGAAAATAACCCGTAGCAGAGGCAGGAAGGGAGGGCTGGGAACTCCAACTCTCAAGGGAGAACAAAACCAAAGTTTAAAAAAAAAAAAAGAAAAAAGAAAAAAAAGAAAAAAAAGAATTGAATTGCTTTATTCTATCTCCACTCTTTCACTAGGACAGTTTAATACCCATGGAGTCTCTTAAGACGCTAATCTACGATCTGCCAGCCCACAAATCCTTCCCACTTATTCCCTTTAAAGATCCAGCCAGAGCGTTGCTTAAAAAGCCTCTCCCCAGAACAAGGGCCACCTTGCAAAAGGGGCTTAAAAAAATAATAATAAGAAGAAGAATAAAACCCCCAAGAATATTGTCTTCTGTCCATCCAGTGATTTCAGGGAATTAAGTGGAAAAGATTGCAGTGCAGTGTTCCAGGTACTCCGCTCTGGGGGCTCCGGGGCAGGGAGGGGAAGGTCCAACTGCCCTCACCCACCTTCACCCCGTCCCTCTCCAGCTCTGTCCTAGCACTGCCTTGTTCTCTCCCTCTGAATTGATTGGGGTCCTCCAAAAAAAAACATGGAAGACCTTCCAGTGACTTTCAGTTCGGATCAGGCTCTTTCCAAAAGGCTGCTCCGCCACAGCTCTTCCACCCGAGGTGATTCCCGAGCGGCCAAGTGGGAGCTGCCCACTCAATACTTCAGGGTTTGGTTTTGCCTTCAGTGCTCCTTCAATCCTCAGGGATCTGAGTCCAGTCAAATGCAGGGCTCACGTTCCTCTTCCCCAGGAGTAACTCAAAAAAGGCTCAGTCTTTACTTAAGGAAAGGATGTCACGACAATCAAAGGCGGTTTGGGGAATTCCTTCTTTAATAGGATAAAAGAAAAACATACAAACAACCTCCCAGGCTTCTGTCATGGAATGATTCTCACACTGTAAGGAGCACAACTCAAAAAAATAATAAGAATAATAATAATAATAATAATTAAAAAATAAAAATAAGGAGACAAAGAAAAGAAGGAGGTTCCTAAGGGAGAAGTGCCTACCAGAGAGCCAGAGCAGCCCTCGGAGATCTCATCTGCAGCAGGAAGGGGATGGCTCGGAAGGAACTAACACAAGCAGCAACAGAACACCTGCCAAAACAGAGTGGCATCTTGGAACTGAAAGCCATGCTGATCTCGATCTAGGAAAGCAACTGTGATGGCAAAGATGGGGAAGGAAGGTGACAAGAATGACCCAAACCTGGCCAATTCTTCCCTAAGTCCCCTCCCGGTGACATAACAGCGATGCCCACGTCTGTCCCAGGGCTTTAAGAGAGCTAAAGGTAAGAAACATCCCAGCTGTGAAACATTTCTTTCCCCATCTTCCCCAGCTTACAAAGAAGATAGTGTTTCTTTACAAAAAAAAAAA